TATTTGCATGCTTCAGAACCTCAACATTGCCGAATCCAAGAACGTTAGACGATTAAAGACCAGTCAGGTTAGAGATAATTGCTCCAAAGTGCAAAATGATTAGGGAGCATAACTGCTAGGTAGCAAAAGGGTATTGACCTGACCGAAAAAAACATTTATATTTACTTCGATACTTGCATTATTGTGGTTTGATTTTGATCACGTAACAATAACAGAGAGAGAGTAAAATGCCTATCTGTAAACAATAAGGTCATAGAAAAATCATGATACACGATTGTACGTGATAAATCTTTGTTTAATATTTTTTATATTAACATATTTTTTCTATATTATCCCAGAGAGAGAGAGAGAGAAAGTGTATGCTAACACAAATTATTATATATATCATTTGTATAACAAAATTACCATTATGTCACTAAATTAAAGTTGAACTTGCATTTTAAAGAACAGCAATGATTTTAGAAAGGCCAGGGTGATGTGATACTCTGAATTTTAACAAAAATCAATCATAGTGTGGAAAGATAATTGGTATTCTTTCATTTATGACATCATTTGTGATCTTTAACAGGTTTGTGATAGCTTAGGTGTAATTTTTAATAAATTATTTATTGAAAAAACAAAAATATTTGAAAAATTATACCTACTTGGCAACTATAAAGCAGACAAATCACTATTTTGTTATTTATTAGTCTTTTAGATCATAAATGATGATATAAATGCAAGAATACCAAATATATTTCCATCCTTGAAGTGGCTATCAAGTCACTTTTGTAACTTTACATTCAAATTCTTGCTGCTTAAACTGACCTTTGTACCCCTCCGTTCATAACAGTTTCATTTTTCTTTTTTGTTACTTTTGCCCTGGTCTTTTTTGATGAATTAATAATTAATCAATATTTATATTTTATTGTAATTTTTATGCTTCATGTAAAGTATCTTGTTCAATCTGTTTGCTATTTACAATTCAATTAAAATGAGATTTTTACAGCTAAAAGATAAAAATATACTGTATATATATTTTAATTGTATATCCTACTTATACTTTTTGGTATATTCATATTCCTAATGCAAATTTGATGTTTTCTTATTTCATCATATTCTTTGTTATATGATGATTATACTAAAAGATAGTAGATGCCAGCATGTACTATACTTTTTAATAGTGGACAAATTTCTCTGTCCCAATAATGTCCACTGTTTGGAGGTTGTACTATATATATTTAACGAAAAGTATTTGTAAAATCAGTTGATACACAAAATTTAAAAATTTCAACATATTATTTAATTAATTAATATAACTATTTTATATTTTAAACAGGATAGGTACCTTTTACAGTCCACTGCTCCCTCTAGTCACAATAATCAAATTGTTTCTAATATTTTATGTGAAAAGATACAGTGTGTTATTTAACTGCAAGCCATCAGCCAAACCTTGGTATGCTGCTAATGTTCACACAGTTTTTATAGGACTCACATTTGGGAATTTTATTTTGGCTCTTATTGCTGTTACTTACACGGTGTTCAAGTAAGAATTTTTTTAAAATTAATATTTAATGAATTATTGTTTCTTTAATAATAAGATTTTATCTAAGAATTTTCATGAATCAAAATTATGATACCAATTATATTATGCATAATATAGTTATCTGATTTTTTTTGCTTTATTTATTATAGTGAATGATTATATACATTATATTTTTAATCTCTTCCAATTTATTTTATTCTTCTATCATCAAAACCTGTAATCTGAAATACAAGATAATATTAGGAAACTTCACTGCCTGTAACCGCTGTTCTTCTTCTCCAATGCATTAACTTCAAACAAGAAATGAAGATATCAACAGCATGGGAAGCCATCCTGAATAAAACTCTAAAGTAACAACATATGGATAATGCGCAAGTCTACAATGACGCCATCGGTCACACATGACAACATTCCAGAAAGATTTTCCAAAACAACGGTTAATTCTAGACTGGAAATTCGAATTCATATAGGGAATTCTATAGCGCCAGAAGAAGAACCACATTAAGTTCGAAAACGTTTGCAAAGTCCTCTGCATTGGAGAAGAACACTGGTGGTTACAGGCAGTGAAGTTGGGTAATTTATCTACTCTGGTGTTAAAATTTCTTTATAGTTTATAATATTAGGAATTAAGATTTATGAATTATTATACCATTTTTTTCATTTTATATGTTGTTTAATGAATTTTTTTTTCTTTATGTTAAAGGGAAATAAGTAACTTTTTTTCATATGAAACAATCGAAGTATTGAAATAATTGTCTTGTATGAAAAATATGCTTTCTTAGCAAAAAATTTTGAAGATGATATTATTCTATGAATTGCTTATCTATTGATAAATTATTAATTACAAATAAAAATAATTTTGTTTGGTCTTTTTGGAAATAATTTTGCACTTGTAGTTCTATNAAGATGAGTTGTAGAGGTAACCCTGCTAATTTATAATATTTTTTAATAATTTTAAATTTGAACTGACTAAAACTTTGATCTAAATAAATGCAAATACATCAAAACTTGAATTTCTTTAATTTCAACTATACAAGTTGTGAAGTAAAATGAAATTCTTAAAAATATATGAACATCTCTCATGATAGATAAGAATATTTTCATATACAGTATCATCTTGGTAATCTGACATATGTAGGACCAGAACAGCATCAGACTAAGGAGATTGTCAGATTATTGGAAATAAGGTGAATTCAGTTTTGATATATGCTTCTTGTCCTTAATTACTTATATTATACTTGTATCCACTGTGGACATTCTTGTGAACTAGGACTTGTTATACTGAGGGAAGAGAAAAACACAATTTCCAATTAAAATATATTTATTTTAACATAGTCTTGCATTACAAGATTACGTCCAAAGTGGATACAAGAATAATATAAGGTGAATTCAATTGTTTAATCATTAAGAAAGAAAACATTTGTTTATTTGCATATTAGTATATTGTATTAATCAAAAATATTTATAGATCATATGTTACTGTTGTTTAGAGTTCTGAAATTAATTGTTGATCCTTTAAAATAAATTTCAGTTGTCTTTTTGCCATTTTGTCATTCAAGCTGCTGCTGTTGTTGATAATTGGTGTTGGTGGATTCACAATAAATTTAGTGGAAATTGAAACAACCATGAAAAATTGACGTCATGTTTAATGGGAAATGGAGTTTGAAGTAGTAGGAATTATCAGCAGTTATAGTAATAATTGAGAGTTGACTAATGTCAAATTACTGAATGTGTAGAACTAACAAATGTATGGATTACCAAGATTGTACTGCATTGCTTTAGTTAAACTAAAATTTATTTTAGAATGTTTCATCACTTATCAGTATTAATAAAATTGAAAATGTTTTAAACTAAAACTTAATTTTTAAATGAACTTTTTTTTGTATATTTGTGATTTCTTATAGGATTTTCATAGAGGTAAGTTTCTTCTTTCTTTTTATGCTTAATAGCAAATAACTCTACCATGTTTATAATAAACAGCTTTATTATATGAAATATGGAAGATTTTATTACACTAGTTATTTTATTAATTTTTTAAAAAGCTATAAAATATACCAGTTAATTGAAATATGAACAATTTATATCTCAACAGATTTTTTTTGTTTGTTTTTAATTTTTGTTTATTATTAATATTTTCATTGTATACACAGTAGAATTCATTTATTATAATTACAGATATTGTTATCAATTATTTAATGTTATCAGACTAAGCAAATAATATTCTCTCAAAAATAATCAGCTTAATAATAAAGCAGAATTCTTAAAACATAGAAATTAAATAGACTATAAAACATTGCTTATTGTAATGACAATTTCAATTACAGTCCACCCATTAATTACATGTGTACAGTTTTTCAGCCATTTTTGATCTCCTCCCTCTTCTATGTACAATGATGTACTTCTGTTAAACTCTCTCCCCTTTAATTATGTGTACATAGTTCATGATCTCCTGACAGTCAAGAAATAACTAAAAAATTCTGCAAATATTTACTAATACTTTATCCACAATGCATAATACTTTGGACTGTGGGAGAAATGGATTGTCAGGATCAACCTCAATTTCCCAACTGAGAGAAGCAGTGATGGATGGCCATTAAAAAACAGAATGAAGTGTCGACTCAATAACCTTTGCTAGCCATTTGTTGCAGGAAACCACAATTGTGTGTTTTGTTTCATCAAGTTATGTAAGATAATATGTCAAGACAAGTCATCAATGTTTAACTTGACAAAAATGCATCATCCTATTTAGTAATTTAATTTTTAAAATCAGTCCAACAGATGATAACTACCAATTGATCACCATAACAGAGATGACATGTCAGAAATAATGAAAAGTATGGAGAAATACAGTATGTAGTAATTACTAAACTATGGAAAAATAGATTACATAAAATTAGCATAATTTATTTCAGAAATCCACAAGAAGTCAAATATCAAAGTTGGACTTTCCTTCATATCAGCAAGAAAAACATATAACATACAAATCTAGGAGTTACTGATTCCAATATAATGTTTTCTTATTCATTTAGAGATGTCTTATTTCTTTTGGCCAAATAGTTATATTTGTTACTAGATTAGCAAAATGGACTTTAATTATATTCCTTCACATCAGATGATTATAAAATTTATAATCATCTAATGTGAAGGAAAAAATATCGAAATAATCATAGCATTTTAGGTTTTGCATTTAATGTAAAACCTAAATACTATGGTTATTATGATTTTTTTTCCTCACATTAGATAATTTGGATTATATACTGTATTTGGACAATCTTTAATAATTAAATTTTATGCCTCATCTATTTTGTGAAACCTTTATTTTCAAATCAGTTGAACAAATCATTTATTATTTGATATTTGTATGAAATTTGAATATAATTAAATAGTCACATTATGATAATGATTTATAAAAATTGTCATACTTGAAAGTGAAGTCTTATGTCAAATATTTCATTGTGTACTTGTTTAATTTCAGACAAACATTCAATTTTTAGCGGAAATGGCAATATCATTAACAATTACAACCATAATTTTTGTTGTACCAATGTTTTATATTTTTCTTTCCAAATATGAAATGAAAGATAAGTTAGTTCAACTTTATCTCACTTTGTTCAGGTACATTCATTGTGATTTTTAAGCTCGTTGTAATTGTTTTGTTCGTAAAGAAATTTTGTAAAAACTAATAATTTTAATTTTAACATTATTTTTAATAATTTTTATATCAAGACAGAATAATTCTCTTTGAAAAATTTTTTAGGATTGTAACCCTGGAAATAATTATATTAGGAATGGTTGTATACTTTTGGTTTTTCTCATCTAATAAGAATGATAATCCTTTTGTAAGTATTTTCATATATAGTATACATTTCACTTTTTTTAAAAAGTATTTAATAATATGGTTTTTCCTTTTGTTGTTTCTGTTTAGTGCTGGGAGACAATGCTAGGTCAAGAAATTGTTCGACTTTTGATAGTTGATTTCGCATTTATTCTGATATTCCAAGTTCTCATTGGAGAAGTATTTAGACATTTTTTACATAAACATTTCCCTAAATTAGTTTCAAATTTAGAATTTCCTATTGCTTGGAATACTCTCAGTTTGATATATACCCAAACTCTAACTTGGTAAGTTAATAAAGTGAATATTTTTCATTTAAATAATTTTATTATTTTAAATCAAATTTAGAATATGTAAGTTTTAATATTTTTTCATTAATTGATAAATGTTTTGTTTTTTAAAAATATTATCTTTAATCTAAATATTTAAAAATTGTCTTATGAATTAAATAATATGTAGTTTAGTCATCAGTTTTACTTAAAAGATTGTTATAACATAAAAATAAAATAATAATTTCATAATTTGAAAATTTCATATTCCATTATTTTTTAATTCCAACGTATTGCTATTTATTATAAAATGACACTTTAGTAGCTCCACCATGATTTTAATTTTTATATTCAAATTATATTTTAAATAAAATTTAATTTTGTTTCCAATAATTCATTATTAATATTATATCTTATAATCATTCAGTTTAGTGTGTAAGGAGTTTATTTTTCAAACTTCAATAAACAATAAACCAGTCATTTACAAAAACAAACATGCTAGCATTTGAAAGTTTTATTAATTTTTATTTAAATTTTAGTATTGTTAAAATTAAAAATTATTTAGCATATTAATTCATAATTTTACATTTATAAAATGTGATTTATTTAACTCTGATAGTGAAAAAATATTTCTTTATTTAACAAATTTTTCTATCACAAAGAAATTACTTTTTATTTTTAAAACAAGTGGAAAATAATAATTAACCTGAATTAAATGAGATATCTTTGATAAAACTTACTTTATGCTCAATTATTGTTACTGATAAATATCATAATTGTATAATATAGTAAAGAATTTTTAATTATCATATAACAATATGTGTTTGAAATATTCAATGACATTATACTATATGCTTTTGAAAGAGTAGTATATTAATTATCCTAGGAAGTTTTCTGGTTACTTATACTTCAATTTGCATTAAATATTGATCTCTAGTGACAATTTTGATTGTTAAAAAGTGTAATATTTCTTAAATGAATTCAATATGAGTGTTTGTCATATTCTCTCATAGAGGTTTTTACCTACTTAAAAAGGGTTTTTGATAAAAATTAAAAAAAAAAAAAAAATTTAATTTTGGTTTGCTTTAAAACATATTTTTTAAAAAATAAAATCTTGTGTCATTATTAAATTTTAAGAAGGTTTTGAAAAATTCTCAGAGATGGTTGACCCCATAAGTTTTTTGAGCATTGATAAAAATATATTTTTGATTAATTGTTATAAGTAGTACTTTCACATTGATTTTATTCATATCAGATAAATGTTTCTATTGGAAACTATAAAATCACTGCTTAACCCATCCAAATTTGCATGCTGTTTTTTTCCGAAAATATTTCTCTGTCAATAGAAAAAATATGTATCTTTTAGATTATATATAGGGACATTTGAATGATGTTCCTTGAAAGTAGATATGTTTATAATTATTAAAATTTAAAAAGTCGTAAATATGATTATTTCATATTTTTCCAAAACAAAACATTTGCTGATTCATTTTTATTTGGAAAGATTTTCATGCATTAGCTGTTTGAAATTCTTTCAAAATATTTAAGTTTTCCTAATATTGCTTCTTGTCTGATTAAATTTTTTATGTATTAATTCATTATACTTAATTCAATGATGATTTTATTTCCAGACTTATGTATAATATACCAAAGACAGAATCCATTTAATACAGGATGTTCTGCTCAAAAGTATCCAATTTGATTTGGCTATAAAAAAGTAACAGTTAAAGATATAAGTTCATCAAAGATTTTATATGAGAGAAAAACTCACCAAATTTTATTGAAAAAATCACAACATTTCTGTGTGCTCTAGCAGTCACATCGTCGTCATCATCATCATCATCAAATAATCTTTATTACTTATCCTGATACTGCCTGGCATAATCAAGCAAGAAATTACAGAAGCAATTACATTGATGTTACATGCAGATGACAATTGCAAAACAGTCCGAAAACAAATGTTGGAAAAGAAGTAAAGAAAAGAGAAAATAAATAAATAAAATATAATAATAATAATAATAATAATATAGTAAATGCAGTTAACAATAAATGAACTAAAGTAAATAAATGTGCATATATACATTAACATAGCTGCATTACCTTATACATTTAAGTGTTACCACAGTTCATTCTAGAGTAAAAACGAAAATGTACGTTGTAGTAAACATGCTGCATAATAGATGGTGAAGCACCACAAGTTGATATATACAATTACAGGTGAAGGAATACATAATAACTTCATTGGATTTGTTAGACAGTCTTTATCTTGTGCAGAATGTCTTGAGTCACACTCAGATAAACAATGATGCGTATCAAGATGCCACTTGTAGTTTAACGAATATCACTTCTAATCAGATAAAGTTTGATAAGTTCTTTGAAGAGGCCAAAATTGACTTTATTATGAACAAGGAAGTCTGGGTTTACAGGCCAGTCCATATTGTTTAGATTTACTTGCTGCCTCCAGCG